CCGTGACTCATTGTCAAGTCGAATTATTGTACACTTGCCCATCACCATATTTGATTACTGTACGTCTTTCTTAGATTAATAAATGGGTAGACGACTTCGTTGCCGCAAATCTCAAGATATCATCTGTTTTCACTATTGGTAATACCTATGAAGGACGGGAATTACGTGGTGTCAAGGTATCATGCATTTTATAAAATAAACAAAAATGAGAACACCGAAATCTCAAAAGAGCTTGTGTTCTTCAAACCGATAACTGATAATTTGATTGATGAAAATCTATTTAAGTTGTGAACAAAACAACTGGAAATTATTCCTTTGATGTTTGTGTAGTCAATTTTTACTTAACTTAAATCATCAATAATATACGTTGTTTGTTTAATACAATAGATAGGACGTCCTGGAGAAAACAAACCAGCTATATGGATGGAAGGAGGAATTCACGCACGTGAATGGATTTCTCCTGCCACAATGCTATACATGACACAACTGGTAAATCTTTTAAAGAATGAAGTATTTATTTATTTGTTTGTTTGTTTGTTTTTACGTATGTGCGCATGGAATAACTAATTATCGGCAATGCAAGATGACAAATAAACCACAAATATAAGATCTTTTAAGATCCCATATTAGCAAGTAAAGTCTATTATTTTTATACATTATCACTATTGTTTGCATTTTATTTACAGTTTGCCGACGGATATGGGGATGATCAAACAACAACAAAGTTAGTAGACGAGTTAGATTGGTACATGCTGCCATTGCTGAATGCTGATGGTTATGAATTTACTCATACAGACGTGAATATTTTCTCTTTAGAAAAGTATCAACACGCGTTAATATAGTTCATCGATTAATGAGATGGGATTTTTATTTGACATTGCTTTTACGAACCTTAAAACATCAAGCCAGCCCCCGGGACTCCCACATGGGTACCATTTTCACGGTCGGACCAAAAAGCGCCATCAAAATCGATCGATCAATTTTCAACTGGCTACGGAGCACTACCACCCAAAATCAAAATGCGTACCCCCGGGAGCCAGGCCTTGTCTTAAATTTAATTGTGAAGTTTAATATCGCATATTATGTTTGTTGAGCATCCATAAGGTAAATTATTCCCAACAATGTACCAAATAGGCATTGGACAGTTGGCTCCAAACAGAGTTTAATGAACACATCCTCGCAGTGAGTAGATGGACATGCGTAAGCCATATCTATAACGTCACAGACAATGACCTACACAAAAATCCAGATATTCATGGTCAGTATGACCTACTCAGTGAAGTTTCTCATCGGGGACAAGTACATGTTCACCAGCAGTGAGAAACATCTGGGTGGAACTGTATGCACAAATGCTACATCATATCATATCATCTTATGCAGGACCGTATGTGGCGAAAAACGAGGAGACCCAACGACGGTTACAATTGCATCGGAACAGATGCAAATAGAAATTTTGGATACATGTGGGGAGGTAAGTTCGCCAAGTTAACCTGGCAAAAGTTTGATTAAAAAAGAGATCATTTTGCATATGCATTTTGTCTCGAACTACTAACATCTCACGAAATAAACTTCATGGGGTAAAAGACTCATTGTTTAATGGGCATGTCATATTTACAGATTAGCGCTATAATTTCCCACCAATGCTATATATATATATTAACTGAAATTATATAATATGATAAGACCCACATCCTTTCAAACTTACAGGTGAAGGAGCCTCAGCGATGCCCTGTGCATATAACTACCGGGGCTCACATCCTCACTCTGAAGTTGAAGTTGAAGCAGTTACCAAGTTTATTATAAATGATCCAAATTTTAAAGGCTTTGTAGATTTTCATTCGTATGGTCAGATGTGGATGTCCCCATGGGGTTACACCTACGATAAAACGCCCGACTATGATTATCAGGTACAGATATAATCTTTTAGATAACAAATCGAATTTTAATTCCAACAAAACTAGTCATAACTATTACATGTATGATTGGGTGCGTCTTATTTAGAATGAAGTGAACAGACGCTGCGTAGAAGCTTTAGAAGCTGTACATGGAACCGATTATATATACGGACCGTCATCATCATTGTGTAAGTTGTTTGTTTTATATCACTCGACGTTCCTGGGATGTTGCTCCTATTTATCTTTGGTGAAGTGAATCTGTTAACGTAATATGTTTGGCAATCACTAACAAGATATACTAATTGTTCTCAGACCTAGCTGCTGGAGGTAGCGAAGACTGGACTTACGGCGCTGCCGGCATTGTTCTCAGTCATGCCGTGGAACTCCGAGACAAAGACGGGTTCATTCTTCCCGAGGAAGAGATCATACCGTGCGGTGAAGAGACCTTTGCAGGCATCAGAGAATTGGGTCTGGCTGTATTGGAAGGATAGACTCTCCCTATCACGAGATGTCCACAAGTAGATTTTCAAAATTTGTGAGAACACTAAATTATGTATGGAAAGCGGACTTTTAATGATGTTTTGGTTGTCTGTTGTTATTGAATGCTGGAGGTTGTGAGGATAATTATTATAATCTCATTTACTGAAATTTGTCACGGCTTTCACATTGTGAATTTACTTGACCCTGATACCATGGTGGTACTTGAACTATTATTGATAATAATACCCGGCATATCTGAAGAACTTATTTCGAGGTAATGACTGGCCTTAGTCTGGCCATATTCAACTCAATAATAAAGTCAAGTATTATAATCAGAGGTTATAAACAGCAAGCGGGTGTATTTGGCACGTATATTATGAAAAAAGAGAATAATTATGCTAATTTGATATCCGCCACCAAATACGTGTGAAATATGTGTAAACTTCTAATTCTAAATACCTAATAGTGTGATAATTCTGAAAATATGGTAAGACTGATTTTCACTATATTGGGTTATATAATGATTTTCATTTGGATTTTTGGTTTTAATTGTGTAAACTTGCATTCTAATTCATTTGAGGGGCTGGATTTACCCGCCATGCAGTGCGCGTTCTAGATTTCGTATTAAATTGTTAGGGCTGAAATGCATTTCATAGAGCATATGCAAAAATGGGTCAATCGCATGATGAAATCGGCAATTCTAACATATTTCAACGAACTAGCGGTAATACGAGGCAAACAATTTTTTTAGTTGTAAATCTTTACGAAACAGACGACAGGACCGGCGAATGACGGGAACGTACGCTTCGATGACGTCACATGTTCGAATGCAACGCTATGCTGCACGGAGAATTTTCTAATACAATTTGTGACAATAATAATTCGTACTTGCATCAGGTTTCCCTGTTTCTTTTAGTTGACCATACACCCTCAATCAATTATTTAGTTTGGGGACATAATCACAGTGCCAGATATAAGACCTTGCTTCAGCCAATCAAATGGCTAGATTCAGATCTAACTATGTTATAATTTTTCGATTGGAGCGACCTCTTTCATCAAATACACTCCGATGATTGTATGTATGGATTTAACTGTAAATGAGTCTTCGATTCTTCCATTCACGCTTTGTCATACTGGGATATGAGCATGCACGACTTGACTGTAGCGAAGAACGTCGACACGTACGATACGATAATCCACTTTGTCCATGGTTTAGTATATTTTTTTGATTTTGTTCGACAACGTCCATAATTATTTAAAATTTAACTCATTGCATAATTTAGCACCTGTAACACCTATAACAGACTCTACAATAAAGTGAATATTTAATTAGGTTCTTCGTAAGGGCAACCATACACGACAGCTTGTAGACACATATACACATTTACATAATCCAAACACTCTGTAATTCAGTAATACCTCGACAAAATAGAATGTTAATGCTATATTAATTTATCGATCACACTTACGTCATTCGACCCCGTTGACCCCTATTTGACATTTATGAGGCCCACATGGACTCACTTGACCCCGTTGACCCCTATTTGGCATGTATGAGGCCAATGTGACCTCAATTGACCTCTAGTTGACCCCGTTGATCTAAATGAAAATAACTGTTGTTATTGTGGATCAGATGTTGTTGTTATACATTGTTTATTTATCCTATGCAAACGCAATTTAAACTAGAATAAACTAGAATTCCAAATTATTCACATGCTAAACATGTGATTTATAGATGTTAAAAAAGTTATCAGTTGTCGTATCTTAACACGGAGTACGAAGTACACAAAGTAATATAAGTAACTACAAAGATTATATATAACATTGAAGTAAGCGTTGTTGGTGGAACGTACCGTGACGACATTGACGTGTCTAATCATTCAGCATTACTGAGTATCAAATCCAATATTACAACACATTAGACAGTATTTGCGTTAAGCAAAGTAGTTCAGAGAAGTTGTAGAGAAGACGGGCAGCACATGTTTTGCCAAATAATAACATATTTGCTATTCATTGCCACCAAACAATTGTATATACAAAGGCCCAGAGCTATCAAATAATAATCTACTTTAATGCTTTCATGTAACGATTTTCACAATAACACTGAATTAATTTTCGTTTCTTTAAACGAGTTTCACACTACGACGACCCCGATGCCGACGACTACGACCAGTACGCCCTCTCTGCTTTCCTGTACACATGCATTCCGCATTCTCCAAAAGGAAAACCTGTAATACAAAAGAAAAATATCAATAGATATATAAGATACAAGAGAATGATTAGCATATATAGAACATGTCTATAAAACCAATAGAGCGAATTGCACAATCTTCTTCATTCTATTATATTTTTCCATTGAATATCATTTCATTTGTCACGAACACAGAGCATGTGAAAATGTGTAATTACAAACCCGGTCCATAAGTCTCGAGTTTAGAGACTCCAGCTCCTTTATCCTATCTTCCAACTGACCACACAGTGGGCTAGGGCTCGCCGATGATGCAGACAAAATTACGTCATCGCCTAAATAACGACAAAGAAACACGTGTATCTTTATATTTTATTGAACTGCCAGATTTCACTAACGGAAGTGGAAAACAACTATGATTCCAAGAATTTATGTTTATTTATGGATTTCAAACAGTCATTTACAATGCAAAGTACATCTACAGTATCAGTGCATATATGAATATCGTATAGCTAATGAGTGGCGCCATTACATGTAAATCTGAAATTGTTGGGTCATTCATGAGATATTCTGTTTATGTATCCATTCCTCAGCTTCTAAAGGCTAACAACTAACGCAGAGTTTGTAAATGTAGCCGTTTCACAACCCGTGACGAACTGTCACTAGAGATGGGTGGAAGAATATAAAACATTATACCACGGCTTTATACACTGAATT